AAGCTGTTTGAACTGCAAGGTCAGCGGTTCAAGCTCACCAACTGCTCCTTGGAAACCCTATACAGGGTCACTATGGGTCGGAACCGACTCGACGGCACTTTACAGCAGCAGCAGCACCAAGTACTGGAGTCCTGGTGTGACGCTGTGAGTTAATGCGCCAGACCACAAAGCCATTTGAACTGCAAGGTTGGCAGTTTAAGCTCACCAGTGGCTCCTTGGAAACCCTATACAGGGTCACTATGGGTAAGAACTGACTCGAAAGCACTTAACAACACCCTGTACTAAAATCTTTGCAAAATATTTGTTTTATGCATTATGACTTTCTGTGAAAAAATAATTCCTAAAAAATACTTATTTTTGTTTTTTTTCTAATTTAGAAATACATAAATAAAATCAAAATTTTAAAAAGTCCCTAAATGAACAGTTAACACGTATCTTAAATGAACACAACACTTGCATAAAATAATGGCATTATAATAATAAATATTTTCTGTGGCACTACACTTAGTATTGGTCTACCAATGATTCCACAGTGCTTCATAATGTTACTGCACCCATGGGTCAATGAGTTTTCAAGTCAAGTTTTCTGATTTATTACTTACTGTATGGTCAAGCCAAGAAGTAACATGTTTTTTTTTCACAGATATTAACATAGTGTTGATGCTTGAAGCTACAAGTTTTATGCAGCAAGACTGAAATAATTTATCACGTTAGATAGATATCCACTAAAAATGCCAAGTCAGATTAAAAACAAAATGTTGATGGTTAAGTTGTAAATCCATGCTGACCAATGTGCCCCAAAGTAGGAGGGATAGCAGATGTTTCAATGCCTATTCTTTGAAACTTAGCATACGGCTAAGCTTCAGAGCCTTAAAAAGATAACAGATCTGAAATAATTCATGGCAGTAGGAATACTGATATTTAAGCAGATGTCTTTTTTTTTTAAATGAAACTGAGGTACAGATGGCAAGGGTTGGTTGGTTTTAGAGTAGCCATTATGGATTAAAAATCTACATTTGGAAAATCAAATATCACAAAATATATAATGATGTCCATATTTTTTCCCATTTGAAATGGAGAAAAATTTACATTAGAGAATTGCTCAAGTTCTTTAGCTCATTTCCTTTTAATGAAATACTGGAAGAATTCCCCTGCTTCTGGGTAAGGAGAATTATACATTATCATAGTTCTTGTTGTTGTTAAGTGACATTGTCTCGGTTCTGACCCATAACGACCCTGTATAGGATTTCCAAGGAGCAGCTGGTGAGCTTGAACCGCTGACCTTGTGGTTCAGTGACTTTGTAATCCAGCTCATTAACCCACAGTGCCACACCAGGACTCCATATTTACTACTATAAATAAAGGAGCTCTGGTAGCTTAGTGGTTACGAATCGGGCTGCTAACCTCAGGGTCAACAGTTCGAAACTACCTGCTGTGCCGCAGGAGAAAGATGAGGCTTTCTGCTCCCGTAAAGATTTATAGCCTCGGAAACCCTGTGTAGGGTCGCTATGAGTGGGAACCGACTCCACGGCACATAACAACAACAACAGCCAAAGTAAATATCAACTATAAAGAAAACAATAAATACGTGTACCTCCATATCGAGAACTTTATGAAAAATAGCCTGGGCTAAGCAGTCCCGGATATATTTTTGGTGATCCCGCTTCATGATATTTAGTTTGTATTCTTTTTCGGAAAGTATCCTTCCATTTCTTGTGATCTGTCATAAACACATAAAACATACATAGAAATACAAAACAGAAAATGTGTTGTTGGTTGCTAAAAAAGAGAGTGAGCAAGAGAAAGAGAGAGCATGGCATATCTTCTAAAATAAAAGGAAAACAGCACTACCGTTGATAAACTTCCAGTTTAATGAATATTTCATTAAGCAAAAAGGAGCAAGGCAGTTTCATATACCTGCCATTGTGAAAGCACACAGGTGGTGCACTCGATGTTTAAAACAATGTTTTCATTAGCTAACATTGTTTACTTTGATGGAACCCAGGTGTTCTTTTTATTTTTTTCAGTTCTCTTTTTGAACACTTTGGGGATGAGGGAAAAGGAGTGCTACCTTGAAACAATGAACAGAAGCAGTAATCACAGGGCTGATGCTCTTGTATGAAACACTTTGAAAGGCAAAGTATGTAAGCTGTAAAGGATCTCATCAATTTCTTTTAAAATATAATTGGTTTTATTACTTTATTTTCACACTGTTAGTTCTTTTTTCCACTCTCCAGCCCAGATTGTAATTTAATTTGCTATGATTTGGGATCTTACAGTTTAGTCAGTACTGTGAGTAGAAGGTATCCAATTATATGAGCCTCAAGTGGCACCAATAAAAGTCCCCCGAGTGACAATTTCTGTTTTTGATTGACTCTCTTTTCTTTCAATCTAAGGAGCACTGTTGGTGCCATGGATTAAACATTGAGCTGCTAACCAAAATATTGGTAGTTCAAACCTACCAGTCATTCTTTGGGAGAAAGACATGGTGGTTTGCTTCTATACAAGTTTAAAACCAAACCAAACCCATTCAAGCCTGCTACCCTCAAGTCAGTTACTACTCATAGCAGCCCATAAGACAGAGTAGAACTGCCCCATAGGGTTTCTAAGACTGAAATCTCAATCTGAGGAGAAAGACAGCCTCATCTTTTTCCCACTGAGCTGCTGATTTTGTGGGGTTTAGCCCAGTGTTTAACCCACTGCGCCACCAGGGCTCCTCAGAAATTCTAGGGGGCAGTTCTAATCTGTCTTGCAGGGTCACTAATGAGCCAGAGTCAACTCAATGGCAATGGGAATATGTGTTATCTTCATCTCTAATCAGCAAAAGGGTGTTATCTTTCCTGGATTGCTCTTTTCCAATTATTTAAGCCCTACTCTTCTTTACCCTCAGAAACCCTGTACAGGGTCGCTATGGGTCGGAACCAACTCGACGGCACATAACAACAAAAACAACTTCTTTTTAGAACTTATTCAAACACCTATATTTCTTCTTAATTTTGTTCTTAAATTAGATCAATTTCAACACTGTTAATACAACACTTTAAAGTAGTGAGATCAACTAGAGTTGTGTTATAGGAGAATGTTTTTTGATAATCCTTGTTTTGTTTTGTTTTTATTAATACAAGTATTTCCAATGGAAGGGATATAGACTATAAAGAGCTTGAAATTACAAGTTACAAATAACCCAGTAAGAACCTAGGAAATGTTGAAATGTGTTGATCATGGAGATATCATGAATTGTTCATCAACTGGGAAAAAGTGTTGAGACCATTCTTCACTAACACTCGCTTAGTGTTTATACCTGTCCTTGTTTTCTCTCCTTTGGGAGTTCTACCCAACTAGACTGGAATCTCCTAATAAACAAAGGTTCTTTGTTTGCTGCATAAAACCTGTAACATCAGAATCACCAAGAGGACTTGTCAACAAACAGATTGATAGTGCTTCCCATTCAATAGTTCTGGAATAAGGCTCTTGAAATGACATTTTCTAACAACTTCAGGTGATGCTGAACACTATTGGTACAGGGGAAACACTGCTCAAAGGAAATATGATATCTTCCATATTTGAGTTTTCATGCATATAGTCAGTGTTCAAATAGTCTTTGTAAATGATGTTGGTAAGTAAATACAAAGTCCTTATCGAATATACTGGAAGCAGACTGATTGTTATCCAGTGAGAGGATATCAATAATAACAAGAATAATTATAACACCCATTTATTGTCACAATAGTCATGAGGGTTGGGCATCATTTATCCTCATTTTTCAATTGAGCAAGTTGGAGCTGAGGAAGTTAAGTAAGTGATTTGCTTAAGATTCTATGTCTTGCTAATGACAGAACCAGGGTTTCAGCTCAGGTCTGTCTGATAACAAAGCCTCAGGAGACCAAACACAAGCTCTTTGAGATCTACCCAGCTAAAATGCCAGTGCAAAAACAACAATTAGAAATGCAAAGCATAGCCTTTCAAAACCATGGCAACAATAGTTAAGGAAACCTACTGTGTTTTAAGAAGGTAAACAGCTAAAATTGTTAGTCACACACTTTCTATAGCCACATACCTTTCTTTCAGTGGGAAACTATTGTATTTTTTAAATGGTATTTACATTATATATATATTTAGAGAAATGGAAATTTTGTGGAAAGGACAGTTTGTGGGCTAATGAAAGGCACAAATATATCAATATACCACCACAGGAAATGAGTTTTTAAAAATTCAAGGGGAAATGTTGAGCTGTTTCTGTCTTCCACACTATATTCTAGGATTATTAAAAACAATAATTTGACTCTAACAGCTGCATATGTATGAGGGCTTTCATATGACATGCTGGAAAAGACCAGAGATGCCAAGAGTTGGAGGTGAATGGAACGCATAAATTACAAAGGGACATGTGAGTACTTGGGACTGTGATGAAAATATTCTACATCTTGATTGTCATGGTGGTTACACAATTGTGTAAATTAAAAAAAAAAAATCATAGTGATGTACAGCTAAATATTTACTGTACATAAAATTATACCTCAAAAAAAATTTTAACCTTTTTTTTCCCCTGAAAAAGTAAAGAAACAATTCCTGGCTGACAGACTATGTTCAATAAATATGTACTGAATAAATAAATGAATAAACAAGGAAAGGAAAAATCCTGCTGGAAACATAGAGGGACTATTTCTAAATAATTTATGTTTTCTTAGCCTTCATCATGACCTCCTTCCACTTCTTTGAAACACAGCCTCAAATAGATAAATCAGAGCTTTGGAAAGGAAGTACTTTTTTTCTAAAATAAGAAAGCAAAAAAAGATGTTACTGATAGCTCAAAGAGGAAACCTAAAAAATGAGAAATTATTGGACTTGATTAAACAAGAGGGTGAGTAGAAAGTAAATCAACTCTTACCAGTCCTGATCTTAAGAGCTGCCGCCTTATCCTTGTATTATTAAAATATCCTGCCAGGTGTTTATCTGTAAGGCTATTATATGCTGCAAGTAATCTGAAACAGAAAAATCAAGCCATTAGTGTTTTATGAAGTGCCTTTTGATAGCTAAGGCATTCCTTGTCTTCCTATTCCCCAACTGTGCATAATCATTTATTCATCCAGCAGCTATTCATGTATGTAATAATTGACATGTATTAAGCACTTAACTATTTTCTAGACTTTATGACAAAAATTGGATGCCATCCTGACTTTGGTTATCCCAAGAATGGACATCAGACATGAACAATTAAATTGGGTATGAAAACTCCAATAACAGGTATACAAAAAGTCATGGAAACACAGAAAAGGGGACCCCCTAGCTCTGAGTTATTACTAGAGAATACTTGACAGAGAAAACCAGATGGAAAACTAAGGATTCCTTCAGACGACTCCTTACTCTCTCCATTAAAAGAAACAACAACAAAAGCCCAGTCGTACTTAAGTCAACTATAACTCATGCCAACTTCATGTGTTGTAGAGTAGAATGACTCCAAAGAGCTGATTTTTCAGATGTGAATTACTAGGTCTTTCATCTAAGGTACCTCTGGATAGACTAAAACCTCCAACTTTTAATTCATAGTTGAGTGCATTAACAAAGAACTGTTTGCTTCACTCACCTCTCATTACACACCCAAACTCCAATAACTTGAATTTACATGTACTCCTTCCACATGTTCTGTTCTTTCATACCTCCAGTACAAATCATACCACAATGAAGTTCCATTCCTAATTTGTCAGCTAGTGCAGGACACAAGTGATACACAAATATTACTTTCCAGAACAGTCCCTTGGTGGTGTTATCTTTTGTCCCACCCCCATAAGATCTTAGCTACATAACACATTAAACAATATGCCTTTGTTTAAGTCTTGGTCTCTAATAAATTTTGAAAGTATTATTCTTAGTACCTGAAGTTGATATTACTAATTTCATATTTAAATAATGAGTGTCTGGTACATGAACCCATAGTTTTGCTTGAGATTTATTCTTATTGGTATAAGCATCTAACTTAGTTTAAGCCTATCAATTTTAAAAAGGTAGATTCCTCAAATATATGCACATTCAAGCCATTTGCTTAATTCCACAAAAAAGCAATTGTACTAAAGTCAACTGTAACTCATACCAACTTCATGTGCCATAGAGTAGAATGACAGGACAAAAATCATAGTTTTCAGAGTGCTTTATTTTAAGTCAATTCAGTTCTTTGATAACATGTTGGACAATCTTCGTCAAAGTTTTAGACTATTTTCACTAGTTTTAGCCTATCGTTTATCAATATTCTGTACTTCAGGGACAAACATGCACTTATATATAGGTATATATGTGTATATGCTGAGGTCTGGTATGGTCCTGTAGGATAAGCTAGTCCAAGGTCAGTGGTTCAAACTCACCAGCTGCTCCTTGGAAACCCTATACCGAGTCATCATGAGTTAGAACTGCCTTGACAACACATAACAACAACATGCATATGTGCATCTTCACATATACATAAACGTGAATATATTTTCAGAACTTGGAATGTATGAAGTTTAAATTATCTAGGAGAATTTGAAGTTTTAAATATGAAATGGAAAGCATAGAGTTTGATATCATAGGCATAAGTGAGCTGAAAGGGACTGGTATTTGTCATTTTGATTCAGGCAATCATATGGTTTACTGTGCTGGAAATGATACACTGAAAAGGAATGACATCACATTTATCATTAAAAAGAACATTTTAAGATTAATCTCCTTTTTCCTTTCTTATTGTGAATTGAGTGAAGGTTTACAGACAAGATTATCAGTTTTACATTCAAAAATTCATACACTTTGTTTCACCTCAAACATTGTAATCACCCTCCATGTAACATCAAGATCTGTCTTGAAGTACAATATTGTCTGTGCTAAGATAATATTTATACACTTACAAGAAAGACCAATTAATACCACTACTACTCAAATTTGCTGGGCCAACCCCTGAAGTCAATTATGAAACATTAAAAAATTCTGCCAAATTCTTTAGTAGATACTGATCAAAAATGTAGTCAGGATATACTGATAATTACCAGTGATTGGAATGCAAAGAGGAAGGATGGACCATTACTTGGAAAATATGGCCTTGGTATAGAAATGATACTGGTGATCACATGATAAAATTTTGTAAGACCAACAACTTATTCATTGCAAATACCGTTTTTCAACAACATAAAAGGGACCTCACCAGATGGAGTACAAAGGAATCATACTGACTACTTATGGACAGGAATGATGGAGATAGTCAATATCATCAGTCAGAATAAGGCCAGGGACCGACTATGGAACAAACTATCAGCTGCTCCTATATAAGTTCAAGATGAAGCTGAAGAAACTTAAGACCGTCTACACAAGCCATAATACTGCTTTGAGTATATCTCATCTGAATTTAGAGACCATCTCAGTAACAGATTTGACACACTGAACACTAATTACCAAAGACCAGGCCAGCTGTGAGATGGATCAAGAACATTATACACGAAGAAAGCAAAAGATCATTAAAAGTAGGAAAGAAAGAGAAAACAAAATGTATGTCAGAAGAGACTCTGAAACTTACTCTTGAATATTGTGTAGCTAAAGCCAATGGAAGAAGTGAGGATGTAAAATAACTGAACAGAAAGTTTCAAAGGGCAGCTCCAGAAAACAACTTAAAGAATTGTAATGAAATGTGCAAAGATCTGGAGATAGAAAACCAAAGAGAATGAATACACTCAGCACTTCTCAAGCTTTAAGAACAGAAGAAAAAAAATCAAGCCTCAAATTGTAATATTGAAGAATTCTATAGCCAACTCTTGGAGTCCTGGTGTGGCACTGTGGGTTAATGCACCAGACCACAAAGCCATTTGAACTGCAAGGTCAGTGGTTCAAGCTCACCAGCTGCTCCTTGGAAACCCTATACAGGGTCTCTTTGGGTCAGAATCGACTCAACAGCACTTAACAACAACAACAACAAAGACAACTATTGAATGATGCAAGAAGCATCGAAAGATGATGGAAAGAATACACAGAGTTACTGCACCAAAAGAATGGATCGATATTCAACTGTTTCAAGAGGTAACATATGATTAATAACCAATAGTAATGATGGAAGAAGTCCAAGCTGCACTGAAAGTGTTGGTGAAAAACAAGGCTCTAGTAATAGATGGAATACCAACTAAAAAGTTTCAACCAACTGATGCAGTAATGTAAGTACTCACTTGTCTATGCCAAGAAATTGCTAAGACAGTTACCTGATTAACCAACTGGAAGAGATCCAGATTTGTGCCCATTCCAAAGAAAGGTGGCCAAATGGTATATATAAATCATTGAATAATATCATTAATATAACATACAAGTGAAATTTTGCTGAGGATAATTAAAAAAACAGTTGTAACAGTACATCAACAGGGAGCAACCTAAAATTCAAGTTAGGTTCTGAAGAGGATATGGAATGAGGAATTTCATTCAAAACAGAGAATACCATAAAATATTAATTTGTGTTTTATTGACTATGAAAATCATTCAACTGCTTGTTGTTGTTATTGCTGTAAAGTGCCGTTGAGTAGATTCTGACTCATAGTAAACCTGTACAGGGTTTTCAAAGAGTGGCTGGTGAGTTTGAATCACCAACCTTTCGGTTAGCATTTAAGTGCTTATCCTACACACCAGCACTCCATTCAATTGCATAGATCACAACAAACTATGGACAAAATTGTGAAGAACAGAAATTTCAGAACAACTGTGCTCAACCAGAACCTGTACATAGAAGACGAGGCAGCTGTTTGAACAGAACAAGGGATTACTGTGTGGTTTAAAAATCAGGAAAAATGTGCACCATGGCTGTATACTTTCACCATACTATTCAATCTGTATGTTGAGCCAATAATTTGAGAAGCTTGGTTATATTTTAAAAAAAGAACATGTCATGAATATTGGAGGAAGGCTCATTAGCAACTTGGAAAAATGTAGATGACAAAATCTTGCTTGCTGAAAGTTGAGAGAACTCAAAATACTTACTGATAAAGATCAAAGAACACAACTTTCAGTATGGGTTACAACTCAGTATGAAGAAAATGAAAATCTTCACAACGAAATCAATAAACAACATAATGACAAGTAGAGAAAAGTTGTCAAGAATTTCATTTTACTTAGATCCACAATCAATGCCTATGGAAGCAGTAGTTAAGAAATCAAACGGCATATTGCATTGGGCAAATCTGGGGCAAAAGATCTCTTTAAAGTGTTAAAGAGCAAAGATTTTACTTTGAGGATTAAAGGTTCTGCTGTCACAAGTCATGGCATTTTCAATCTTCTCACATATTTGTGAAAGCTGGACAGTGAAGAAGGAAAACTAGAGAACAATGGATTCATTTGAATTATGGCATTAACAAAGACTATGGAAATAACCATGGACTGCCAGAACAACAAACAAATCTGCCTTTGAAGAAATACAACCAGAATTCTTAGAAGCAAGGAAGGCAAGGCTTCATCTCACATACTTTGGACCTGTGATGAGGAGTGACCAATCCCTGATGAAAGACAGAGAGTTAGTGAAAAAGGGGGAAACACCTAATGAGATGGATTTATACCGTGGCTTCAATGGGCTTAAATATAACACAATTGTGCAGATGGTACAGGATCAGGCAGTGTTTCATTCTGTTGTATATAAAATCACTGTGAGTCAGAATCAACTCGAAGGCAACTGACAACAATATAAATGTATGGCGTGCTAGTGGCTTCGTGATTAAGCACTGGACTGCTAACTGAAAGGTTGGCTGTTTGACTTACAAGCTGTTCCTTAAGACAAAGACGTGATGGTCTATGTCCATGAAGATTTATAGCTTTGGGAGCCCTATGGAGCAGTTCTACTCTCTCATATAGAGTTGCTATCAAAATCAACTAAATGGCATACAACAACATATATACGTGTATATACATTTATATATTTTGACTCATAGAAACCCTGCATAGGTTTTCCCAGGTTGTAATTCTTTACAAGAACAGAAATCTTTCTCCTGTAGAGTGA